CCAGCATCCAAAGGGAAGACGAACTGGCGCAAGTATGAAAGACACGAGGTATACTTGTAGTAGTCGCAGAAGTAGTAGTCGAACCTTGAGAAGTCAGGGCTGAGCAAGAACAATGACTGTAGGTGGTGGTGCCTCAGTAATGACAGCAGTATGGCTGCGAGGAGGCGGCTTAAGCTCTGGATGGAACTTCCAACAAGTAGTTCTGAGATGTCCTAGTCGGCTATAATAATTACACTAACGAGAATCTCCATGTCTACGTTGATGTGGAGTATCCTGACAGCGCTGGGCCGAGCGCTGTCGACCCCTAACAGTAACTTTAATAAAAGCTCAACATTATTTTTAGAAAAGAAGTAAATTAACTCATATAAAAGGGGATGACAATTGATTCATTCTCAAAAAACTGAAAATTGAGTTAAATAATAATTGATACACAACAGTTGTGTATTTCTTAACTCTAGCAATTTTCCAACGAGCGAAAATTGATACCAAAAGGGCAAACAAAATTTTCAATGCATAATCTTTGGCAAAAAAAGAAAAGCACACCGTTGCTGTTGAGCAAAGGAAACAAGTAGAAATTGAAAAGCCCCACCGAAAGTGTGTTGTCGGAGTTGTGACATATTAAAACAAATAAAATGGATCGGTAACTAAAAGTTGATTGAAATAAAATATTAAAAATAGGACTTCATTGGCATCAAACAAAAATGATAAGACTTAATGAATATTTATAGGAAAAAGTAACACTTATCGGTAATTGAATTCTTCTATAGAAAAATGTTGGATTGTGAATATTATTCATAAAAAAATGTTATGAAATTTTGTTCAGATTTGGATCAACCATATGCATCATGTGGACATCTGACATTTGCCACTAAATTGGTTTCGAAATTGAATACTGTTATTATAAAATGCGAATGTTAAACGTGAACCACGATGGGTTGCCGATAAGCATTGATTGAACTCCATTATTGAAAGACTCAGCTTTCTGTTGCGAAAGTCTGACCAGCTCTTCATGTACTTGATAAGCGTGGGGTAGAGCCAGATGAAAGTGACGAGCAAGAAAGAAAAATAACCACGTACGTGGTTGTTGGAGTCATCTTGACCGCTATGCATTTTTCACATTTTTAATTATCACATGAATATATTTGGTCTTTATTTTTGACACGACACATTTATACGATAGAAAGCTAAAAAGAGTACGACTAATTAACAAGAATATTAAATAACTCGTGTTAGTGTTAAAGCCGAATAACCCAACAATTTCTATATTTTGATCTAATTATATATATGAATTGTAAAATTAAAGAGATTTTTGTTATATATATATATATATATATATATATATGAAAAGGGGTCCTATTCTATATCACTCCAAAGATGGACCTACCTAGCTACTTCCTCTGTGAGTTGTCAATAGTATTCCTGGCATATACAACGAGTCAATAGCCAATTAGGTTGCCTTTCACATCAAATAATTATGAATAAAATACATTTTGTTCGCAACCTTTGAACCTTTATAGGATAAATTGAAAATACAAATAATATTATTTAGACTTAATTTATTGATCTAATTAAAACACAATCATTTAATCGATAATGAGTCCGAACATTAGTTAGAATTTACCATCAATTTAATGGTTGAACTGTATTAGGTCAACAAATTAAGTCTAAATAATATTTTCCTGTTAAAATACCTAAAATTTTGTGTGTCCCACGTGTGACGCCCTCTTTGCCTAAAGGTGCTAAAATCAATAAATATAAGATTGAGTAAATTATACATTTAATTCTCAGATTATGACCCTCCAGTTAATTAAGTTCTTGAATTTTTTTTTGTCAATTAATTCTCTAAACTCTCTAATTGTGTTAATTAAGTCATTCTGTTTGCCTCTGTTAGAGATTACCACTCACGTGACCCTCACAAAAAGAAAACATGGCTCAAAAAGAAACAATTAGAGAGTTTAGATATTTAATTAACACAAAGATTATAATTTGAGGCCCATATGCGTAATTTACTTCAATTCATTTGTGTCATGTGAGTGACACACTTTGTCATTTCTGTTAAAAAATTTAACAGAGGTAGACATGAGGGCATAATTGACATAATTAGAGAGTTTAGAGATTCAATTGACACAAAAAATAGTTCAAGAGTTTAATTGACATAAATATCATAATTTGAAAACTGTATGTCTAATTTACTCTACAAGTTTTAAACTCTAAATCTCTCCCAAGTTTGTTCATGTTTTGCATTTTTTGTCTTGATCCAAGTTAGGAGTATAATGATAATTTCTTACACACCATTGTTAAGTTTTTTTTTTTTTTGTTTGCATTCGAATGGTGTTAAGCTCCTCTCTCTTTTCCCAAGGATTGAAGTATCCTCCAATTTTATTTAATTAAATACTCAGAATTTATGTAAGTTTGACATATTTAATTCGATGTTTTTCTTAAACCCAGCTCCCTTAGAACTTAATTCCATAATCCAGTCACTTTTAAACTTAATTCTCAAATCTAGTCTTTTTTAACAAACGTCATTTGAAATGACGCATTCAAATGTAAAAATATCATTTGAAATAACGATTTGAATTTGAAATTGTTTTCCTGAAAACGTCATTGTTAATGACATTTTTGAAGTCGTTATTCAAAATAACGATTTTAAACATGATTTTTTAAACGGCAGTAATAGACGTTAAAAATTACAAAAGCGATGAAAATGTCATTTAAAATGACGTTTTAATCAAATAATATCTGCCCATGATAGAAGACCTAGCAAAATATTTTAAATTTTTTTTACCCTCTCTCAGTTGGTCTCTCCTCCTCTCTTAGATCGCTCCACCCCCCCTCCTCCTCCTCCTCCTCCAACCAGTCAGCCCCCTGTCTTAGATCGATCGATCTCTCCTCCTCCTCCGCCTGCAACCACTCAGCTATCGTCTTCTCCGACGAGATCAGACCACTCAGCTCATGTCTGACAAAACCAGACCACATATCTGATACATTTACTTTGTTTTGTTCAGCTATATTAGCTGCGGCTGGATTTTTAGTCCAGACCACTCTCTTTATCTACTATGTTCTCTTTTTTAGAAAAGTTAGAACTACGATTTGTGTTTTGATTTAAGGATTTGTTGGTTATATGGTTTTGGTGAGTTTTGTTCTTAAATGATTAGATTTATTACCTCTCTATTTTTTTTTAATTACCACTGGATTTATTGGACATTTTGTGTACTATTTCTGTAATTTCATGTTGATTATGTAGATGAGTTTTCTACAATAAGTTATTTGACCTAATGATTTTTTTTTTTGTTTACTGTTCAGATGGGTTTCAGATGAATTTTGTTTACCGTTCATACAAATTCTTGATAATTATATATATATGAGTTTCCTGATAATGATAATTTATTTGCCCAAAGAGTTTGCACTGTGGTCTAATCTATTCTAAATGACTTTTGATCTTCAAAGCAAATTTTAACCAAGCGATCCCAAAAAAGAAGGGTTTCAAGAACCCTTCATACTAATTGCACCAAATTCAAAATGATGTTTTCATCCCCTTTGTAATTTTTAACGTCAGTTACTGCCATTTAAAAAAATCATGTTTAAAAACGTTATTTTGAATGACGACTTAAAAAACGTCATTAGCAATGACATTTTCAGGAAAAAATTTCAACTTCAAATCATCATTCCAAATGACGTTTTTATATCTGAAGACATCATTTTAAATGACATTTTTAAAATAATATTGGATTTGAGAATTAAGTTTAAAAGTAACTGGGTTATGAAATTAAGTTATGAAGAGGGCTGAGTTTGGGAAAAACTTTGACTGATTTTGAATTTGAAAATTTAACCTACTTTTCTTTATCAGAGTTACTAACAAATTATCTTATGTGATAGTTTATATTACACTCACACCACCTCCAGTTAATTTAAAAACATAAGAGGATTCTTGAAATTGACTCGAATTACATACTGAACTCTCATTTTAGAAAGTTATTACAGTAAGACCCCTCCGATACTTTAAAAACATGACAAGAGACTGAAAACAAATGCGTCAACGAGTTTTATTCGTAAAGTCTCTAAACTATGATTTAGCCCCTACTTGACCAGCTAAGAAAACAATCAAAATCAACCATCCGCGACCCTTCCACTGGCCATCAACCATGAATCTCATAACGGTCAATGACTCAAAAGGAAGAAAACAAATATTTATATATTATATTGGACAAATGGAAGTTTGCACGCTAAAGAATTCTTAATTTATACCATCAAAGATAAATTATTTTAAATTATACTCTCAATAAAATTAATTGATAGTAATGTAATCCTACTCATAACGTCTGTTGTTATTTTCATTAATTGACAGTCACATGAAACATACGTGAAAAGCAAAGGGTCATAATCTAACAAAAATCATCACGTGCATTTCATGTGGGTTACCAATTTGACGAAAATCACAATTCCAATCATAAACATTCATGACGAGTTTTATTGGATTGATAGACATGTGAGACACACGTGAAAAGGGGAAGCACCATAATCTGATAAAAGTCATCATGTGCATCTAATGTGGCTGACAATTTGAAGAAAATCACAACAAACATTATGGTTGGGGTCGCATTGCTAATAATTAATTTAATTCAAGGTATAAATTGAAACAATTGATCTTTGAGGGTGAAAGTTGATTTTTTTTAATCTTTTGGGGTACAAACTGCTATTTACCCTATTATATACTTTCAGATGGGGTTTAAGCACAGGACAAATCACTTTGCCTATTTCTAAAGGTGACTTAAAGATGAACCCAACTTGACTTAATTATTCCTGGTGGGAACGCGTGAAATTATATTATTTTCAACCCTATAAACACGGCCACCATCCTCAAAATGATTTTCTATCTTTTTATGTTGGTCGTCGTCAAGTCTATAAAGTAGTACATATACAAATGGTGAGGCAGAAAAGTAGATAGTTCCTCCCATCATCTAAACTCCCATCATCTTTCCTTGTCATTTGCATCTGAGACAATGGCTGCTTGTAGTTGCAACAAGAGTTTCTCCAGCGATCACATGTTGCTGAGCCCAGAGGATGTGGGTCTCTGTGATCTCATTCGGATCTTGTTTTCCAATGAGATTGAGAAAAGAAAGTTTGTGGACTGCCAGAAGGGGACTGAGGAGCCATTCAATCGTCGATGGCTCATATTCGTCTCCGTCTTGTCTCAGAAATTCCTGCGCTCTGTGTCAAAACCCATGGCTTGGTTTGGGTCTGTGGCTGAGCACTGGCTTAACCTTCTGTCCAGTAATCGGAATTTTGGTGTGCTGGTGCTAAATTTCCTTCGAGGTTAGTTCTCTATGTTTCTATTATTTTAAAGTTCTTTTAAGTTAGACGGTGTTTTTGGGGGTGGGGGGTGGGTGTTGGTCTACAAAGATTCTCAAATATTCAAGGAGCTAAGAACATATTCTCACAATAACTGTGCTAACAGGCACTGTTTTCGGACAATTGACAATATCTGGGCAAAGACCATCTTCGATTAGGGTAGTTTACACTTTGATCTCCCCAACGATGCTCAATATCAGTTTGTACCGTCATCTGTTATATATATATCACATTGCTCGATCAACTATTTTAATTGGTTTCATACTGTTCATGATTAAGGCTGATAATTGACCTGAGCCTGTTGAACTTGATGTCAAAGAAGAGTTCAAAATGAGCCGAACTTGAGCAAAGCCTGAGTAATTCGATTATTTTATATACAAACGAGTCGAATTTTGTGAGTTCGAGTCAAACCTAAAAAATTATTCACGTTCGGTTGGTTAAAAACACTAGTCGAACCCGAATTACACGGCTTAATTATTAGCTCTACCCAAGATCTAAACACCCAATACGTTTTTAATGTCTAGAATTATGGTAATGTGAAACTAATAGTCAGTAATGTTATGTTGACTAAATTTGGAGACCAAATCAAAAACTTAAATGACATGACAACATATTATTTGAAGTCTTTATTGAGATTCAAATGACATGACACTAAATAAATAAGTCCAAGTCAGCTGTTTTATTGGGGTTTAAATGATATGACACCAAATAAAGAAGATCAAATCAGTTGCCATATTATTTAAATTTTTAATTTAATTTTAAAATTTAATCAGTGTAATATTACTCGTATAATCTTAGAAACTTAACAGTTGAGTCCAAACTTAAATGACCCGAATGCGTGGTTGACTTAGATTTACAACTCATCATAGACTTGCACTAGACAGGAACCCCTAGTCTTCCACCAAGAAAAGTTATGCAAATAAATGTGGGGACAGAGGACACGTGTTTAGTCAAGCTTTCCTTCAGCAATGACCCAGAAATTTCTCCAGAAAAAGAGTTTAGTGCTTGTGCCAATTGCAAAAGGTGAAAATATTGACGTACAGTTTCAAATGGATAGGAGAAAGATAAGATTTCAGAATTGAATTAATTTGAGGTACAGTTATTATTTGGGGTTAAGTTGTAATTAATTAAATGTGGTCAAATTACAACAAAAAAATTGAGATTGAATTGCTAGTTTGAGATTATCAATACATTAAGGTTAATTTAGGGTTGAACCCGCAAAATGTGAGACTTGGATGCCACCGGTGTCACATGGATCGGTTAACATAAATAATGTACTATTGATAAATCTTATATCAATTATGTTAAATTCTCATCATAAACTATACTTTATATGTTTCTTGAATTGCTGTCCAATGGAAAGCCAATCTTTTAGTTTCAGAAAGCCAAGACGTTGGGTTAAAGAAAGGGAAGCAAACTAGTCACGCCCAAGATCTTGAAGGGGATCATTTGGTATAATGCTCAAAAGCGTAATAAATGTCATTTGAATGTTAAACCCTTTAACCCACATATGAAACTTCTCGGTGGGTTTCATGACTAGGCTTAAACCGGACTAGGTTTCAAACCCTAAGTTACTAAACATGGTTTTGAGGGAGTTTATTCCCCAAGTCATGTTCTAAAACCTCCCCAAATCCATATACCAAACAGGCCCTAAAAGACTCGGTAATAGATATGATGACCATGATTGGGCTTCAAAGTAGCCACATATCCAAAAACCAGGTTTATGAAAGTGATAAACACACACACACACACACTCTCTCTCTAGTTATTTATTTTTTTATTTTTGGTTTAACGGTCAAAGATATTCAGATCAATTTACGCGCATCTCGATTAATCCCTTTTCCAGTCCAACTAAAAGCAGACCAACCACATGAGACTATGATATTCATAAGAGATAAATTCTCATAACTCTAAAAGATTTTCAATATTCAATATCAAAATACCTGATTTTACAATTCATCAGTGTTACTACTTGAGTTACCCTTGAATTTGAGAACCGGTTATTGTAATTTACTCGTGTGCCCTATAACCAAGAAGGGGGGTCTTATATATATACTAGTCATTTGCCTGTACCTGAAGGTACAAAGTAATAAAAAATTGTAAACAATAAAAATATTTTTATTCATATTCAAAATTAAATTACAAATATAAAAAAAAAGATAAATGAATCTAAACATCAATTTGTAGTGAGGGTGAGAGGTGGTGGGCGACAGTGACGCTAGTAAGAGATGGTAATGGTTGTGTTGGGGGGGCGGTGACAGCGATGGTGGTGGTGGTGGGGTGGTGGCGGCGATGACAGTGGTGGCGGTGGGGGTGGTGGCGACAACGATGGTGGTGGTGGTGGTGCTGATTCTGGTGGTGGTAGTGGTGGCGATGGTGTCGACAACAACGAAAGTGGGGGTGGTGGTGGCGACAACAGTGGCGGTCGCGTGGTAGTGATGGTGGAGATGGTGGTTGTAGAGGTAGTGATGAGATTGTTTAAAACACTATTTTTTAAAAAATATTTATGAGAAATAAATTCTAAAAGTACTTTTAGAAAGTCCTCCAAACATACCCTTGATGTCCCTATTTTTCTATTAAATATAAGGTGATAATATTA